GTATCAAAGCAAAAAAAAAAATTTCATTGAACTTTTCTATCATTATTTCTGTCTTTACTTTTTTATTTCAACTTTGATCTCTATTAGGTGTTTCCTTCTACTAGATATAGGGGTTAGTTTTTTCTCCTTTATCTATTACCTTGAAATGCAATATTAGATTGCTTATTTGTGATTTTTCTACTTTCTTGATGTAGGCTTTATTAAAATAAGCTTCCTTTCAATATATTTTCCATATCCCACAGGCTTTGCTAATATGTGTTTTCATTTAAATATGTACTGGGACAATTGATTTTTTAATTTGTTTTTGCTTTTATTGGTGCATTATAGTTACACATAAAATTGTAGTTCATTTTTATTTATTCAAATACATATGGGATATAATTTGCTCCAATTCATTCCCAGTATTTGCATTTTTATACCCCTGCTCCCTTGCCCTGCTCCCTTTCCTCTACGCTAGTGGTCTTCATTACATTTATTTTTTAAATTTTCTATTTGATTCATTATGAATACACAGCAAAGAGGATTTCATTATGATACCATTTTACAAGCACATACAATGATTTGGTCAAATTCATTGCAAAGTTTCTCCCCTTTTCAATCCCTCTTCCATTCTGCATGATTGCCTTGTTCTCTATTCTCCCTTCTGATTTCATGAGATCTCCCCTTTTAAATTTTCTTATTTTGGTAGCACTTCCACATGTTAAATAAAACATATGACCTTTGAAATTCTAAGTCTGTCTTCAGTTACATAGCATGATGTTCTCCAGTTCCATCCACTTATCATCAAATGAAAAATTCATTCTTCTCAATGGCTGAGTAAAACTGCATTGTTCATGTATGCCACATTTTCTTGATCTATTCACTTGATGATGGAAATGTGGACTGCCTTCATAACTTGGCTATTGTGAATTTTGTTACTATAAATGTTGATATGAATGTTTTAAATTGAGAGAGAGAGAGAGAGAGAGAGAGAGAGAGAGAGAGAGAGAGAGAGAGATCCCAAGCAGGCATTGCAGAAATCCAGAGTAAAATTAGGGACTATTTTAAAAGTAATTGTTCAAGAAATTGGAAAATGTAGAAAATTTTGACAAATTTATGGCTCATATGACCTAAATTAAACCAGGAGGATATAGAGGACCTCAACAGAGAAGAATCAAGTAAGCACATTGAAGCTGCAATCAAAAACCTTCCAAGAAAGAAAAGCCTGGGACAATAAGGCTGGTGAGATGAGTGCTACCAGACCTTTAAAGAGAAATACTTGAAAATTTCACTCAAGTTATTCCATGAAATAAAAAGAGGGGGACTCCCAAATTCATTCTCTGAAGCCAATATCACTATGAAATGAAAGCCAGACAAAGACATATTAAGGAAGGAAAACAATAGTCCAATATCCCTGACAAGCCCAGAGTCAAAATGCCTTCATCAAATTTTGTCAATCTGCATTCTAATTTCATTAAGAACACTGGAAACCATGATCAAATTGACGTCATTGCAGGGATGCAAAACTGTTTCAAGATACATATAAAAAAATGCAATTCATCACATAAACAGAATTAACACCAAAAATCATATGATAAGCTCAGTAGATGCAGAAAAAGCTTTTGACAAAATTCAGTAAACAGGTATGATAAAAACCTTGGAGAAACTAAGACAGAAGAAACCTACCTCAGCATCATATAGGTCATGTATGAAAAACCTAAAGCTAACTTCATAATGAATAGGGAAAAATTGAAAGCATTTCCTCTAAAACCAGGAACAGGCCAGGATTGTCCACTATTGCTATTCCTAAACCATGAAAGTCTAGCCAGAGAAATCAGGCAAGAGAAGGACTTTTTATGGATACAAGAAAGAAAAAAATTCAAATAATCTCTGATGAGGACAAAATGTTCTAGGAAAACCAAAAACACTCTACCAGAAGAATTTCAGAACTTATAAAATCTGCAATTACCAGAACACAAGATCAACATAAAGAACTCAAAATTTCCCTATACTCCAATATACTGCTGTGAAAGAAATCAGAAGGGACAATTCCATTCTCAATAACCTAAAAAGAGGAAAGGAAAAAAGAAGAAACTTGGAAGTAAATCCAACCAAAGAGATGAAAGAACTCTACAAATGAAAATTATTAAATAACAAAGAAATTGAAGAAGGCTTTAGAGGATGGAAAGACACCCCAAGTTTTTGGATTGATAAAAATAATATTGTCAAAATAGCCATATGACAGAAAGCAATACACAGACTCAATGCAGTTCCCATCAATATACCAATGTCATTCTTCACATAACTAGAGAAAAAACAGTGCTAAAACTAGTATGGAAAAGTAAAAGACCCAGAATAGCCAAAGGAATACTGAGCAAGAAGAGGAATGCTGGAAGCATCCAAATATCTGAACTCAAATTATCCACAGACCTACAGTAACACAAACAGCATCATGTGGCATAAAAATAGACATGAAGACTAATGGAACAGAGTAGTAGACACAAAGACTCATGCTTGCAGTTATCTGATATTTGACAAAGGTGCCAAAAACACATTTTGGGAAAAAGATAAACTTTTTCACAAATTGTGCTCAGAGAACTAGATATCCATAGGTGGAACCATGCAGTTACCTCCTTATCTTCCACCCTGCACAAAACTCAAGTGAGAGTGGATCAAAGATCCAGGAATTAGACCCGAAAATCTGTAACTGTGAAAACATAAAACAGGGTCAGAACTCCAACACATTGGATCATGCAAGACTACCTTAAATAGACCACTGAAGAAATAAAACCAAGAATAACTAAGAGGAATGGCACCAGGTTAAAAAGGCTTCTTCATAACAAATTACAAACATTCTGCATAAGAGAATCAAGCTAAAACAACATAAGTATTTATGTATGGAAGTGGGTGAAAAGATAGCCTGTCGAATGGGAGAGATTATTTGACAACTAGTCCTCCAAAAAGGGATTCATATCCAGAATATATAAGAACTTAAAAACATA